GAGTTGCATATTCAAATGTCCAGGTGGTCTCTTCCTGTCTAATATTAAATTTTAGAAACATTAAAATATTTTCAGTAAGATGTTTCAAAATATTGATTTCTCTTAAAGTAAGCCACATGTCATATTAGGTGACATGATGAGGAACACATGGATTTACTATAACATCTGTTATTTCATTCTCCTCATTATTTTTTCATGGAAGAGGAAAGAAAAGCAGGAATTTGACTTTTAAGACATGTTTTACATAGTGTGGTAGAATAACACAATGACTCTTTTTCTTAGAAATTTTTACCTTGATTTTAAAAATAAATACTTTTATTAATTACTTGAGATATTCATGCAATATATTTTATTAATATTCACTCCCAGATCCACAAATGAACTCCTCTCAGAATATCTTCTTAAACTCAACAGTACCTACCCAGGAGATTTTGTCCAGATTTCAAATAGGTTGTACACTGGACAAGATCAAGTCAGTCAAGCTTCCAGCACAGAGGGGAAGGGGGTCATGAGCCCTCATTTTTCACTGAAGAATTATGGGCATTTGACGGCTTTTATGGGATGAAAAGTCAGGGTATATTTGAGGATATGCATCCTGGTCTGTTGACAACATTCAAATGGATGACCCCACATCCAGGAATCTATGGGTAGCACAAGTTGGAATAGGCATTGTTTTCTAATACAAGGACAAAAATTTGGGGCATGTGAGGAATTTGGGGTAGATTTGAGAGGAGCTACGGGGGTGGCTGTGGGTGAATATCATCAAAATCATTGTATGAAATACTTAAAGCATTAATAAAAATATTCAAATAAAATAAAATAAGCAGTACAACACTTTCATATCTATCCTGTAAACATTCTCAACATTGTGGTAACATTTTAAGACAAAATTCCTGAAAGGAACTACCAGGTTATTCTGAAATTCCAGATCATAGGCTAAAGAAGAAGCTCACAAAATAGCATGTGTGCACATGTGTGTGTGCATGCACCTGTGTGTGTGTGTGTGTGTGTGTGTGTGTGTTATTATCTCAAACATTTACTCGGTATCTGCTATAGAGAAAAATGGATAAACAAGTGGTTTATGTTCTTCCTCTTTTAGTGACAGTTTATTCCTTATAAATAAAAAGGAAAAAGTGAGCAGATCATTGTCATTATGTGTCTTGGTTTTTTGGCTATGGACACAATGTGACCATGACCTCACACTTCCCATACATGACTTTCTCTTCATGATGGACTATACCCTAAAATTTGTGAGCCAGAAAAATACTTCTTTCTAGTATAAATAACTTTCATCAAGTATTTTGTCACATAAATGAGAATGATAATTAATATAGAAGATTGGTCCCTAGGACATAGTAGCTCCTGTGGCAAACCTTTGTGGTTTATAGACATTTAGAATTGGTTTGTGGGATATAGACACATTTGGACCTGAAGATGAGAAAAATCCTGAGTACTGTTGGCAGGGCTTAACGAGCAATTCTGGCAAGAGTGTCGAAGGCCAGAATACAGAGTAGTATTGCATAAGTCAAAGGCTGCACTTATGAAGTTTCACAGGGAATCGAGGACTCCCTTGGGAGCTGGGGTCAATGTCTTTCATGTTAAATTCTGACAAAAATCTGGCTGTTTTCTGCCCAGGTCTTGAGTGTAAAAATATTGTTTTTCAAATATAATGAACGAAGTTACTTATTATATCGAGAGTAGAGCATCCAGGATGTGTCATGGTTTTGCTTACTGCCCTGTGTCAGATCCACTATGAGAAAGCAAAGATATATGAAAAATATATATTTTGAAAAGGAAAGCAACATGGTAATTTCAATTTCAATCAGGGCTATTGTGGAGAAAGTAGTGGTAATTATTAAAGAGACTGATACCACTTAATTGAAATGTATTTGGATAATAGTAAAGATGCACTGAAGGCAAGACCTCACTCATCAAGTGCTCCAAGTTTAAAATGAGAGTTCATTTGAAAGGACAGAGCCAGAGCCTGAAGTGAGAATTCTGCTGAATGGGTTCCTTGCTCAAAACCAAACACCTAGTGAATTATTTTCTCAGGTTCATTTGCAAAAGTACACAGAGGTCATACAGGTGTGGAAAGAGTTCAGTCTACACCTCCAGCAAGTAGTAGGCTTGTAAGTGCTGTCCAGTGGGGCTGGTTTTCCAAAAATGAAAAATGCAACAGTGATTGGGGCATGGCAGCTGACATCAAAGGTCAAGAAAGTTGCTGACACAATGTGTGGCAGCGTTATGTTCTCCAGAAAGAAGTCTGAGTACTCATTGCATTAAGCTGTGAAAGTACAGCTTCATTCCAATGGAGAATCCAAGTTATTGAGATGGGAGGATCATGGATTATGTGCTGACAAAAGCTGAAGCAAGGGACAGAATCAGCCTGAGAGAGAGGGTATATATGCTGCTGATGGATAAACTGACAGGGGAGGATATCCAAGATCATTGGACTTCAGATGAAGTCTCCACTTGCTTCATATGTTGGTCATGGACCTGTAGGATTTGGTGCTTGTGCTTCTGTGTTTGGTCTTGCTTTAACTTGATTTTTCTTTGCTATCTACCCACTTACCACTTACAGAATTGGCATTTTGGCCATTATATATAAATTTTCTTATTTATTAAAGCATGCATACATTTTATTATGTATTTACTTGTATTCCCTTAAAACACTACTGATTATTTCACTACTTAATTTCCATATTAAGTATTTAATGACTCCATTCATCAAAACTTTGAAAGATAAACATGCTAACACACACATATACACACAAAGAACTCCTTTCCTTATGTTGGCATTTTGGCAATAAACTAAACAGAAAAAATTGTAGAATCATCACTACTCCATTACAAAATGGACATGCTGTTTTAAGGGATAAAATATTCAATAAGCAAATGAGCAAAGAATAAACAATCAGGGAGTGATATTAAAAGTCTATAATTATATCATGACTTATTTATTAATTTTTAAAATGGCTTATACTTAAGGTTGTCTTGAACCTTAGAAGTGACTTTGAGTTTCTGAGCTATGTTAGAACTGTTAAGATTCTGAGAAAAAATTCCAGAGGAACTAAGTGTATTTGATATTATTAGATGACCATAAGCTTTTGAGGATCAGGTGTGAAAGATCATAGTTTTAGAATGATGCATTTAGCATTTAGTTGTCAAGATGACAAGGGACAAACCTGTTTGTTAGTGGAGAGGTGTATGTATGTGTAAGTGTGCTCAACCATGTGTGTATGTGTGTGTGTGTGTGTCTGTGTGTGTCTGTCTGTGCATGTAGTCATAAATCAGTATTAAGTGTCTTCCTCTGTTACTCTCCACATTATTAATTTGAGAAACTTTAACTAAACCTGGAAGTCACAAATTGGCTAGACTGGCTAGTCATTGAGCCCCAGAGATCTGTGTGTCTCTGCACCCCTGACAACTTTCCAGCACTGGGGTTACAGTTTGTATGCCTCCACACATGGCCTGATGTCTTTTATGAGTGCTGGGTATCCAACTCAAGTTTTGTGCTTGTACAGCAAACATTTTACCCACAGAGCCAACGGTAGACTTTTGATGATTAATCTTCATTGATTGTCAACTTGTTTGAAATTGGAGTCATACAGGAGACTCAACACTGGATATATCTTTGAGGGAACTTCTAGACAGGAGGAAGGTTGCACCCTTAATGTGGGTGGTATCTTTACATGATGCCAGACTGAACAAAAATAGAAAGAGGGTGACATACAAACCTGTTTCTCTCTCTGCTTCCTGACTGTGGGCACAATGTGGCCAGTGGCTCACATACTTACCACCATGTCTGCCTCACCATGATACACTCTTCCCCTGAACTGTGAACCCAAATAAACCTTTTCTTAAGCCTATTTTGTCAGGTTTTTATTGCCACAGCAATGACAAAAGTAATTAATACATGTACAATTGATTTGCTCTTTGTGTTGTTTACAAGGCCGTAGAGACAGCTAGGGCAACTCCTAAGGATGTGAAGCTCAGAATTCTGCTGCTACCACAGAATAAGCCACCACTGCATAAAGTGGCAGCAAACAAGGTGAGATCTCATATTTGACCTCCAGGTTTGAACTCACAAAGAGCTCTGATTTGCAGAGCCCTCCCTTGAGCTCTGCAGAAGTCAACCACTGTTGGTGGACTTTGAACAGTGACGGACAAGAGAAGCTGGAAATACTTTCTATCCAGTCATGGGTTGTGAAGCAGCAGCTTGTGTGGCCTCACAAGAGACAACCCCTGAGATGTTGCAAGCTTTGCGTCTGTTCCAAAATCATGACCACACCAGTTCAATAAGATATTACCATTTTTATTTCTCCTCTTCCCTTACGAACTTCCCTTTTTTAGTAACTCTTGCATTCCTAGGCTCACATCTCAAATGAAATGACTTTGAATGCCTTGCATAAGTCTGCATACTACATGCATTAAAAATATCAACACTAAAGAAATAAATCATATTTTTTTTAAATTATAGTTTCTCTTCATGAAAATTGGTTCCAGTTTTCATAAAGGTCAACCTACTATGGATTTAACCAATATTACTACAGAGGTGAATTTGCTTTCATAGTTAGGGAAAGTACAACACCCTTTCTTATTTGCCATTTAAAAATTTTTCGACCTTATCTTTAGCCTTGTGGTTGGGAAGAGGTACCAAACTGCCTAAACTTAGAGCGGCTTCATTAGAAGCTTTGTACACATTACTAACTAAAGAGTTAAAAGTTATTAGATAACAGAAGCTGTTGAATCAACAATTTACAGTCACACAGATAAAAATTCTGTCACAATTATTAAGATGATGATCCAGAGGCAAAACAGGTAGTGAAATCCTTGCAGAGTTAAAGTTAAAAACATAAAGGTTATCCTAGTTCAGGTCAGTAAACGTGACCTGCCAGGGGAAAAAAAGAATCAATGTCCCTTTGTGGTGAGAGTGTATTTTATTCTTAAAGCATCTAATTCATCAAAATCTTGCCAGACTACACTGTGTAGACACTGACCTGTGAACAGGTACCAGAGGTTATTTGGCTCCAGTGTTTCCATCTCACCCCTGCGGGTTGTCTTTCGGTGTCGAATTTTATAGCCAGTGATAAATCCATTCTGTGTTCCTGATGGAGGAGGAAGCCAGCTTACTTTGATACTCTGTAAAACAATAAATGTAAATTAAGACACTGAAGAAAGCAAGACAACAGGAAAGGGTCAGGGAAGTGACCCTAACAATAGTATGAATAAAAGAGATAGCAATTGCCTCCACCTTGAACTCACTGTTGTAATAAGATAGCATTCATATTTGTTTCATTTTAATAAAAATGCATATAATTTATTTGCTTGATGACATGCAATACCATGTCTTCATTGCAAGGACCATTAAAATGTCATGTAAGAATGATAGGAAATTATTCTAAATAGTATCAACTGCTCAAGTAATAGAACTATATTTGATGAGAAATAGTGACACGATGCCACAAACTAAAGGGAGGGGCTGAGACAGAGGTAAAGAAGAAGACTAAGCCTAAATACTTTTCTTCTCAAAAATGTTAGCTATTTTATTTATTTATTTCTAAATACTTTAAAGAGGCATTCATGAAAAACAAGGAAATTGACATTTAAAACTCAGGAGCTTGTTGCTTCCTAAGTTGGAAGGTAGGACTGAGGCATGGTACTGAAAGAGAAGATGGTTTGCGAAGTTTCAAGATCAGTGAAACTGCAGTTTCTTAGATCTAGTAAGCAAGTCTACTGCGTCTCACTGACTGGAGTAGCTGGGAGCTTTATGCTCAGCAGTTGTTGAACACAAAGCCCACAGATTCAGATAAGAGGCACAGAGGAGAGTGGGATATGGGTTAGGGTTAGTAGGTCAAAGATGTGAGGCATCCATATCTTCTTTTCCCACCAGATACCTAGAGGGACCCAAGTCAACCAAGAAGAACATCAAATAATCCTTATGACCTAAAATTGCAAACTTTGAACTAGAGAAAAAGATCCAGCACAGACCCTAACAGTGAAGCCAGAACTTAAAACCCTACCCACGGCCTAGAATTTGTCCTTTGTGATTCAGCTTTTAGTAATTTATTCTAATGTAAACTGACAACTTGAAATGACCAGATATGAAGCAAAGCCCTTGGGCTCAAAAGACACAGGAAGAAACACAGAAGGATAGAATGGGACCTGAAAGAAACAATGATAACATATACAACAGAGTCTTGCAAATACATGCAATCATAGACCAAATATCTAAAGAAACCGAGTTTCATGAAAATATACACAAATTGAAATAGTAACCAAGTCGGAAAAACAGGAGAATAAAGATCACATCTTCAATAGAAACATTAAAAGATAAATAAAAATAAGCTAAAATTTCAGAAGGGAAAAATGACTGCAGTAATTGTAGAGAAAAGATTAGAAATGAAGGTTTAGTCCATATTTTCCAACATATAACTAGTAAGTTAAAGGAACAAAAAGGCAAAATGTGTGAGACCAAAAAAATATTAGGAAAAAAAATGTATCATTCATATCACTCCGTGTGATTGGAGTTTTGAATGAAATATGTGCCCCATGGTCTCAGGTACTTGAACACTTGGTTCAGTTAGTGTCCCTGTTTAGGGAAGTTTAGGTAGACTCATTCCCACTTTGATTTCTCTACTTCCTGTGTGGGCATGGAGTGTGATTTCTCAGCTTCCTGTCCTGGTTGCTATATCTCCCTCACCATTGTGAACTCTCTTTCTGGGACTATAAATAAGAATAAACTTTCTTAAGTTGCTTCTGGTCATGGCATTTTTACCACAGCAATAGAAAAGTAACTAAAACATTTCTCATTCCTAGAAGAAGAAAAAAACTTCGCAGATGTGGAGGAATTTGAGTCTAGAGTGAAAAGACTATGGGATATTTAACATAACAAACTAAAAAGAATCACATTAACATATATCACTGTAAAATGGTAGAGATCCTCATGAGAGATGACTTGGAGGAAAAGCTTCTGAATGGGGATTAGAGGAGACAGGGCACATAAAATATGATCTAGAACAAAAATCTTATCAGTTTTCTCAAAGACACTTAAGGTTAGGAATTAATGCAATATAAATTAAAGAGTTCTGGTTGGGGAATTTCATTCTAATGTTCTGTTTAGCCAAATAAATAAACAAAAGTATAATATAAGAACAGCACAGAAATATACTCTTCTACATGTACACCATATGGAAATTTCAGATGTACATGCTTTCAAAGACATTAATATGTATTTCCTTTATCAGAAGACTAATATAAAGTGTGTTTCAGAAAAATAAGAATCCAAGTTAAGAAAGAAAAAAACTTAAAATGCAAGAAATAAATAACCTAAAATAAAAGTATGATGTTCTCAGAAAGATATTAAAAAAGATCCCAGTGTGATATATAGTTTAATATAAGAAGGAACCAGATTCAAAAGAGCACAGCTGAATAATTCAATCTCTATGAAATTAAAAAATGAAAACAATTAACTTATAAATATAGAATACAGAACAATTGCCTAGGCAGTGGCACTGTGGGTTTGACAGGACTCATTACAAACGAGTACAGGCCAAGTTCTGGGAGTAAAACAAATCAGTATGTTGATTTCATGCTTGTTACATGGGTGTATACAAAAGTCAGAAATCATTGTCATGGGCAAAATTTTGTCCCTCCAAGATATAGATATTGAATCTTTTAAAAGATATTTTATTTTTTATTTTATGTGTGTGCCTGTATTGCCTGCATGTATGTTAGTGCATCCTTGTCATGCAATGCCTATGGAGGTCAGAAGAGGTCGTCGTATTCCTCTGGAACTGGAGTTCCAGATGGTTGTTAGCCACCACGTGGGTGCTGGGAATCAAACCTGGGTCCTCTGCAAGAACAGCTAGTACTCTTAACTGCTGAACCATCTCTCTTGCCCCTAGATATTGAATCTCAATTCCAAGCATCTCAGAATATGATGATATTTACCAGTTAAGTGGTAAATTAAGCAGAATTCAATTTGATAGGAATGGCATCCTTAGAGAAGTAATGGAATAATTAAGATTCAAAGATTTCACTGTGTCCCCATTCCCTATTGGCAATTTGGGTAACCTCTTCAGAGGATGGTGTGGTAACAATAGGAGCTAGGAATTGGCTAGGCAGTTAGGGTAAAAAGACCCCAAAGAAAAGTAGCCAGTTTCTTG